ATTAATACGTCCAGTATTTAAACCAGTAGTATCACAACAAAGAATTTGAACTTTATCTTCGAGATTCCAGTCAGTAACCGCATTTTAAACAGCCTGTGCCTGTTCATTTCCTTTATAGTTGTCAAATTTTGGCGCCGCAATAAGTTGTTCTTTATTACCATACGAAATAACTGTGGAGAGACGTTCTACTTCACATTAGTGCACATCTAAAGCCGACAACAGTTACCATCTCATCTTGTTCCTCTTTTTCGGTCAATATTTTTCTACTTCAGCTAAGTGACCAGGTCGGCCTGACTCTCTATGGTGCTGCAAGAAGATTCTGGCTTCATTTATCGTTATTTATTGAAGCGCATCGGCATGTGCAACCAAATTGTCCTAATTTGTAACAAACGCTTGTTGACACTGCTCGATCAGGTCTTGTGTTTTGTTCGCATTTTTCTGCAATCTTCTCCAAACTCGGTATAATGTAAATAGTTTCTTAACACAGTTAGGTAAAGCTTTAGTTGGTATATGTGCCTTTTCCCAATAATAATGCACTCATACATAGTAAGATTCGCAGTTTTATTGACACTTAAATTAACTTCACGAATGTTGTCGTACAGAACTGCCAATACTTTTCCATTAGAGGCAAGCTTTGAGCCAGTGATTTGATGTTTTACATCCCCAAATAAAAATATGCCTTTTTTAAAACTACATAATCCCATAGACATATTGACTAAAGGAAAATAGTGCGTTTACTACTAAAACAAACAATGAAATAAGCACTTCTATAAGTTCGCTGCAATGCGCCAAAGGATGCAAGTTCTGACATGTATCGGCAAGTCGGCACGGGTTGCTTTATTTCTAAGCAATAAAACTTTATTTTCAATTGTTTTGACACCATCCACACATTAAAAATTAGGACACCTTAATACATACATATGTACATATATTTGCTGTATATATTTGTTGTTATATACAGTCTTTACACAACAAAAACTTTTGTGCATATTTTTTTTTTTTTTTTTTTTAAATTTTATTTTGATTTTTATTGAATCTTCTAAAAATCAACTTAGAACTAACAATAAATTTTCGCTGCTAATTGCTGTATTAAAATATTTGAAAAAAGAAAAGTAGATAATTAATTGTCCTTGGCCAAAGCTTCGTCCAATTTCGTTACCATGTCGGGCGTTGTTCTTGAATAGCCGGGTTTATGTAGTTTTTTTTGAGTCGCTGTGTACCAGCGCTTTGGGTAAGGTTGCTTGCAAGTGGATTTTGATGGTTCCTGAGTTTGATTTTGTACTTTTGTGTGTTGCTGGTAATTACATCTGTGACTGTGTCAATTCGAAGATCTCTATGAATATTTGCGTTTTTTATATACCAGGGGGCACCGACTATTTGCCGGAGGATTTTTGATTGAGTTCTTTGAAGTTTTTCAATGTTTGATGGAGAAGCAGAGCTCCAGAGTTCAATTCCGTAGGTCCATATGGGTTTCATCATTGTGTTGTAAAGTTGCACTTTATAGGTGAGATTAAGTTTAGAATTTTTATTTATCAGCCAGTTTAGTTCTTGTTGTTTGAGTTTAATTTGGGTTACTTTGGTTTCTATATGCTTTTTCCACGTAAGCCTTCGGTCGAGGTGCATTCCTAAGTATTTGGTGTCATTGCATTGTGGTATTACTTTCCATTAATACGAAGGGCAGGGCAGGTATCTCGTCGTAGAGTGAAGGTTATGTGTACACTTTTCGATTCGCTAACTTTTATTCTCCAGAGATCGAGCCATTTTTGCAGTTTGTTGAGGTGGTCTTGAACTGATTTTGTGGCTGTGAATGGGTCGTCACTATGGCTGAGAATGGCAGTGTCATCCGCAAATGTTGATGTTGTTGTACAGTCACTGGTTGGCATGTCTGCTGTGAAAATCAGGTACAGCAAGGGGCCCAGAACACTACCTTGGGGTACACCGGCCATAATGGGGAAGGCATTGGAGACAAAAGAATTTTGTTTATAACAAATCTTCTATTTGAGAGATAGTTTTTGATAACTGAGGATATATTGTATGGTAAATGTTTCTCAAGTTTCCAGAACAATCCTTCGTGCCAAACTTTGTCAAAGGCTTGGGTTATGTCTAGAAAGACGCCTGAACAATACTGCCTCTTCTCAAACGTTTCCTTAATTACTCGTACTATGCGGTGTACTTGTTCTATTGTGTTGTGTTTTTCTCTAAATCCAAATTGGTGGTTAGGTATTATTCTTTTCTTATTTATATATGGCATTAGTTGTTTTATAAAAAGTTTTTCAAATAATTTTGAGAGAATTGGAAGCAGACTTATGGGTCTATATGAGGTGACTTGAGCGAGGTCCTTTCCGGGCTTGGGTATCATCATGATTTTGGATAGCTTCCAGTCGTTTGGAAAATATGCAGTCCTTAAAATAGCGTTATAAATAAAAAGTAGTTGATCTTTGGCGATTTGTGGGATCTCTTTCAGCATTTTCGCTGTAATTAAGTCGTAGCCTGGGGCTTTTTTGGTATTTAAATTTTTGATTTCGCTTTTTAGTGGTTTTTTACTGAAGCAAATTGTCATATTGTCGTTTCGTGTGGAGTAAGGCAGAGAGTCAAGTTTTGTTAAAGTAGAGTTTGGGGTAAATACATATTTAAGGTGATTTGCAAAAGCAGCACCCTTTTCCTCATCGCTTTTAGCCCAGTTTCCATCTGTAAGCCGGAGGGGTGCTCTGTGTATAACGGGCTTTTTCTTGAGTTTAGTGGCTTTCCAAAGGGAGTAGTTTGTTGTTTGCGTTGGAGACAACTGTGAAATAAAATTTTCGTATTCTATGCGATTTTTTTCTTTGAGTAATCTCTGAAGTGCCTTCGTCAGATTCTTGAGTTGTTTTTTAATACGGGGGGATCGTTGTTGTTGCCATTGGCGTCGTACTTGTCGTTTCTCCTGTATAAGGGTTGCAATTTCGTTCGATGTATGGTAGTTTATAGGTTTGTGGGGTATTGGGAGTGGGGTTGATATTCGAGCGGCTTGTTGAAGTAAAGCTGTGAAGTCCTGGACTGCCTTGTCAATTTCAATATTTGATTTTAAGGAAGTGTCTGTGTTAATATGTGAGCTAACATATTTTTTAAATTTTAGCCAATTTGTGTGCTGGTTTGTGAGCTTTTCTTCAGATTTTGGATTGACTATTGTTGTGTTTCTAATCAGAATAAAAGTCGGCGTGTGATCAGAGGAGAGTTCTAAGGATGCCTCGGTAGCAATTTGATCTCTTTTTAAATTCTTTGTTACTGCAAAATCAATGACGTCTGGAGTTTTTTTCCGATCTGAAGGCCAGTATGTTGGTGTGCCAGTGGAGGATATGTTAAGGTCGAGTTTTGATATCACGTTCATCAGGGATTTTCCTTTTGGTGATATAAGTCTTGAGCCCCAGAATGTGTGTTTGGCATTGAAGTCGCCGGCCGCTATGAACTTGGGTCCAAGCTTTGTAAAATATTCTTCGAATTAAAGTTCCGTTATTTTATACCTTGGTGGACAATAGATTGAGGTTATATTCAGACCTTTTATGTATTCTTCTAGACATATGCTTGTCGCCTGCATATATTCTGCTTCAAGGGTTTGAGTTGGGAAGTGTTTAATGTGGTTTTTTATGAGGATAGCAGATCCGCCTCTTGCTCGTCCACTGGGGTGTTTCGAATCGTAGAGTATGTAACCAGGTATCTTAAAGTAGCTTTTCTCGTTAAAATGGGTTTCTGAGATCAGCATGACGTCAATTTGATGTGATTGTAAAAACAATACACGTTCGTTTTTATGTTGGCTTAAGCCGTTAGCATTCCAGAAGCAAATTTTGATTGCATTCATGGTTTGGATAGGATTGAAAGTAAGATATTTTGATTTTGAATCATTCCCTGCATCATATTTTGCATGGTGTTCATAAATTGTGTCATGTTTTCCATAAACAGTTGGATCATGTTTTCAATATTTGAAGATGGTTTAGTAGAGTTTTCATTTTGGACGTTGCTTGGGCCAGTGAATCCTCTAACAGCGTTTGCATATGATATTTGTGTACACGTATTGTTGGAGTCAGATGGAGCATTTGGCTGAGATCGCATTTGAGTAGGGTGTGGTGGGATTACTGACTGAGAGCGGGGACGCAATGCTGGAAACATTCTTTGTTTTTCGGTAGTGTATACTACACATCCTTTATAATTAGCGGTGTGGTTGCCTCCACAATTTCCGCATTTTTTTGTTGTTGGGTCCTTCTTATTTGATGTGCAATCCTTAGTGCGGTGAAAGTCGCCACATGCAACACAAACACTACGGAGTGTGCAATAGGACTTCGAATGTCCATATTCCTGACAATTAGTACACTGCACCGGGTTTTTACGCTTGTGCGGTTCTTCTACTGATATTTTTCTGTGTAGTAGGAATTGTAGGGAATAAATTGGATGAGCCTCGTTCGATTTGAGTTTCTTTCCTTCAGGTTCAAGCTCTATTTTATAAAGTGGTGTCGAAACTTTATCGCGGTTTTTAATGTTGTATATAGATTTTGATTTAAATCCTTTTTCTTCAAGTGCTTCTTTAATTTCTGCTGTATTCAAATCTGGTTCTATTCCTCTTATAACTACTGTTAATCCTTTGGCACTTTTTAATTGATAGGTGTAAAAATTTTTTCCATTTTTTTCGAAGTTGTTTACAACTGCTCTGTAATGTTTTTCTTCGTTGATCGAGATTTTTGTTTCATCGACATTTCCTTTACGAAGAGGCACAACATGGAATGAATCTTTGCCAATACTTTGTGTTAGGGAGTATATAAGAGCGTTTGAATTTTTTTCACGCAGAAATATGGGTGGCGGTTTCTGGGTAGGGGCGGGTCTGGTATTTTTATCGTCTTCGGCTAGAACGGCAAAACGATTCGCTGTCGAAATATTTTCTATTTTTCGAGTTTTTGTCGAGATTGCATTGTTAGCATTTTCTTGTTTCGGGCTACGTTTTCTTTTTATGATTTGAATATATTTATCCATGCCACGGACTTTGGGTGAATCAGGATTTTTTGCTATGTTACTATTCTTTTGCAATATATTTGGCAATATGTTAACATGTTGCGCTGATGCTGTGTTATTTTTCGAAGATGTTGCTGGACTTTGCGGTTGGTAGCTTGATTGTTTGCAAGAATTTTCACTTACCGAGTATGAGCGTTGCCTTTGGGTTTGGTTGTTTAGCATTGTTGTTTGGTTCGTAGTTGGCTTCTCAGAACTACCATCTGCTGTTGAGTAGCATATGGGTGAGTGGTTTGTGCCTCCGCTATGCGAAGGCGGTGATCTATTAATTGGCATATCGTGGTAGGTATCGTGGAAGTTAGCTGAGCAGCCAACTGTCTCTGAGTAATTTGTTGTGAAAAAGAAGCTTTTACTTTTTAATTATTTAATTATAAACCTTTAGAGTTCTGTTTTAAATGGCACGAGAAAAATAGTATGTATTTAAAAAGAAAAAATATAAATATATATTATTAATATAAGTATAATATAAATTTATAATATAATAAAATATAAATTTCAATTTTTCTTAAGAATTTATCAAACAATAAATTTTTTTTTTTTGTTTTGAGGCGTCCTTTCGCGTATTTATTTATTTTATTTATTTAGCATAAGTTTGTTATTTAATTACACAATTACACAATTTTTCAAATTTGCGATTTG